CCCCCCCCCCGCCCCTAGTTCAAGCTCCTAGGGAATTTATATATAATCCTTCAGTTAAATGTGGCTGGGTTAATTCATTCAAGTATAATTGTTCAGCCAATTTCTGTTCTTTCTCTAATTGGGAGGGATTCTGTATTAGTCTCCTATTGTTGCTCTAGTGAGTTAGTATAGAACAATGCCCCCAAAACAACACACATTTATCATGGTGTAGTTATGGTAGAATTCTGAGAGGAGTCTTACTGGTCTAAAATTAAGGTGTCCAAAGGGATGCATCCCTCCTGGATGTTCTTAAAGAGAGAACCCTTCTTCTTGTGTTAGCAAGTTTCTAGAGGCTACATTCCTTTGTTCCTGAACATCTTCAAAGACAGCCACATGGGACAGGATCTTTCTGTTGTTATCTTCTCTCTGGTTCCCTCTTTTCTGCCTCCTTCTGCCGGCAAGGATTCATTTTCATCACATTGGACACACTTTGGTAATACAAAATAATCCATGTCAAGGTCAGTTGGTTAGCAACCTTAATTGCATCTGAAACTTCAATTCTCCTTTGTGATTAAAAACGAATATTCACAGGTCCTGGGAATTAGTACAGAGATGACATTGGAAAGGGTTGGGATCATTAGTCTCTTTTCTGCAGACACTACTTTTACCCCATAGATACCAAGGGCTCTTGTGGCAATGTGCGTGGAATGGGAACAGCTTCTAGACTGAATCCCAACCTCTCTACCCCTGCATGCACCCACCACATAGCTATACTATATACTTGACAAGATACTTCTCCAAGACATAGTTGTTGTTGTTTTTTCTCCAGAAAGCTTTATTTTCATTTGGTCCAAGGCTTGGGATGGGCTCCAGGGTAGTTCGTTAAGAAGTTTCCCAATGGCTAGAGAAAGAAGCTCAGGTGGAAACCCCGATGTCAGGCGAGGCAGAGATGGCCCCTCAAAGGCTGCTGGACTCGGGTTTTCTAGTCGTGTTTGTGGGTGAGGCTTGGAAAAGATCCTTGCCCAGCTGGGCCTGCGGGGCCGCCCCCAGCCTGCAAAAGTTGGCTAAGTGGTCGCCCATCTTCTTGATGAGCTTCACCTCTTCATCCAGGAAGTGGGTCTCCAGACCATCCAGAGATGGGGGTCTGTGCGAGCAGAACCCAAGGCATGAAGGTCCACAATGGCTTGGTTCAGGCTCTTCTCCAGGGCCAGGCGGCTTCCATGGCTTCCATGGTTTTACCTCACTCATCCTGAGAAGGTTTCTGCACGTCCTGGTTCTGCATCTTCAGGAGGCTCTGGGCGCCCACGCCGTCCAGAGCCACATCGTCCCGATCGAAATAGTAGCCCAGAGAGAGGCAGGTGTAGGAGGCCCGCAGGTGCAAGTTGACCAGGCGGTTGACGGCAGCCTCCACCTCGGTGGAGTAATTCTGACGAATCTGGGAGGTCATGGCTGGTCGTCAATACAGAGCTAACCACAGAAAAACACGGCATTGGTTGGTCCTGGAAGCAGGCGACGGGCGAGAAGATCAGGGTCAGAGGCGGTGAGTGGAGAGGCAGTTGGTTGTGGAAAGGAGGAGTCCCGGGGTCTGTTCCATCCAAACACTGTTGAAGCAAGACACAGATCCGCGGGACTGGTGCGCGCTGCTGCTCTAGCTTCCTTATACATAAAGTGAGTTAATAATATTTCTAAAAATTACTGTAAGGATTTAGTAAAGCCACCTATGGTAAAATGAGGAGGGCATAATCACCATCCCTTTCATCGCTGAAGGGATATGAATATTATGAAGTCCTTGCTTCTATTAAGAGATATTTAGATTCCAAACAGCTATTCTATCCTTCCTCGCTATAGGATCATTGATGGGCTATTACATTTTTTTCCAAGATTAATTTTTTTCACCTGTTAAATAATGAAATTCACTTCATAGGTTTTGTATAATTGATTAAACACTAATAGATACAACAATTCATTTTAACATTGGTAAAAGCATCTCATTCGATGTTTGGGGAATTTCGGGAATCATCCAGTAGGTAGAGAAAGTGTATTGAAAGGACACTAAGCCCCTGGCCAGGCTTCTTAATTGTGATATGTATGGAGCTAAAAATCACTTATATAATGGAGCAGACAATAAATCAAAGGTTAAAATGAGTTGTAGATTTTGGATGGAGTTGTCCATATCAACTTTGTCCTCACGTACGTGGAAATGGGACACTAGTTGTACAATATCAAACACCGATTATCAGAAATTTCAGAGAAGGATTCTGTTGATGTTTCTTTCTTTATAGGATAAACATACATTAACAGCCGGGTGCCGGTGACTCACACCTGTAATCCTAGCTACTCAGGAGGCTGAGATTTGAAAATCGAGGTTCAAAGCCAGCCCAGGCAGGAAATTCCGTGAAACTCTTATCTCCAACAACCTTGAGATGAAGAGCTGGGGGACAGTGCTCAGGCCCAGAGTTCAAGCTCCATGACCGACCAAAAA